CTCCAATCACAAATAAATACACATCAATTTACAAGTAATCTAATTCCTTTTTTTAATCAATTGAAAATAAAAAGAGTGTAAAAATTATCGTTTCTTCATAAAAAGAATATCTCTAATTATAAATAAATATACTCATTAACACATGCTTACACTGTTATTTACAAATGAATACACTGCTATTAACAAATGAGTACCCTGTTATTCAGAATTGAATAAATGAATACCTCTAATCATAAATAAATACATTCATTCATTGTTATTCACAAATGAGTACACTTCTATTCACACATGAATGCACTGCTATTCATTCACTGTTATTCACACATGAATGCACTGCTATCCACAAATGAATAACTGCTATTCATAGATAAATACAATTTTTCATTCTTCCATTTCCTCTCACACTCCCTTCTTTTTCTCCTATCTTCGAGGTGCAACAAAAACACCCCCACCAGAGGTGTTTGCTGGTGGTTTCCGGCGAGCCAAGGGCAGCAGCCCCCTCCGTTTTCTCCCACTGTTTTACGACACACCAAGCAACCCAAACACCCCCCTATTGTCGTTTTCTTTCTGCCTTCCTCCTCCTCTCATTGACAGTAACTGGAATAAGAAAACGAAGTGGTGAAGAGGTTGCCAGAATAGCCCCAGCCACTCCACTACTGCGATGAACCACCAAATCGGTGGAGGTGCTCCCTATTCTTCTTTCTTCGCTCCTAAAACAATTTCATACTTCATCATTTCATGTTCTTGATAGAAAACCCCAAAATCGGAAAAACACAAAATTGAAAGTGAAAGAGATGGATTTGCAACTCAAAACATCGAATACAGGTGATATATCAATGAATCGATTCTGAATAAATGAAAGATAAAGGAAGCCCTAATCATACCCTTTACCCTTCGTAACCAGGAAACCACCATCGACATAGCCTCCATCATCAACCTTTATCTTCACAGCAACATTCAAGCAAAATCGAGACCATACCTTCCAACTTGAAATCGATTTCTGGTCTAGAATCTCCAATGAAAACCGATGAACTAACATCAACTTGTAGGAGTGCTCTTTCGCTGATTCAAACAAAAAAAAACCGAGAGCAGCCCAAATGATTTCTGACCTGTTTTCGTTCATTGTCACTCGATCAGACGAGGATCGAACATTCCCCAATCGACTATGCCTCCAGATCCCTACTCCGTTCTCTCCTTCTGATCAAAAGCAATTCAGAGATCCTGTTTCCCTTTCCCCCTTTTTGGCTTCATCGATTCCAATGTGTCTCACCATTCTTTTCCCTTTTGTGGTGGATCGATGATGTAGGGTGGAGGCGTACCTAGGTTTACAGAGAGAGATGAAGAGAGAGATGGGAAATAGAAAGAATTAGGCGAGTGATTGAGGAATTATAGGAATTAAATAACGGTGGTAAAGGTCCAATTACTATAATACCCTTATCACCATTTGAAGTTACACTTTAATACCTGTAACTTTTAAAATTTTACATAAATGGCTCATTCAATAATAACCTTAGATTTAGTTTTTTAAATGGTTCAGATCTGTTCTCGCGTTCTCAACCTTTTGAGTGTTCTCATTTGATCCTACTCCTATATATATATATAGATATATATATATATATATATATATATATATATATATATATATATATATATATATATATAAGGTATTTATTAGAAATGGTTTATATATGTAATGTATTCAATACATTAAAGCCTCATTAATTTTAATAATTCAAAATTTTTCTCATTTTTCTTATAAATTCAAACTTTTCAAATTGTTAAAATTTTATATTTATTTTTTTTAAATAAACTCATGTAATACATGAGTCTCACACCTAGTATACAATATATTTTCTCAAGAAATTATGAGTGATTGTAAACTCCATTGAATATCCACTCTCTCTTTAATCAAAATCTCATTCTCTCTAATATTTAAATGCAAAACATCTTATTGATTGAAAATTCGGTTCCATCCGAAGGAAACCTTACATTCATCAAAAAATCATCGACATTTTTCCTCAAGAAAACAGAGTACAAAGATACAAGAAGGAGAAAATGAAGAACAACAATGGAGCTTTCCTCGCTCCTCTCGTCGTCCGCGCTATCTTCGTTCCTCTACCGATGGAACGGGTGACTTCTTTGCTTTGCCGCCGGATCCGGTGACTTTGAAGACCAGATCTAAAAATCGACGACATCTCAAAGCTTCGTTCTTTTGAAACCCAAACCCCGACCCCATATCCATCCCTTCTGAAACGCTTGTGAAATAGATCGAAGGCAGACGACTGTGAGCACTCACGTCCGGTGAACACCCGCCACAGTTTCTCCCTTCTGTCGGTACATTTGGACCACCAGCGACCACCCATTATGATTTCTGGAACATCTGCAAACGATTTCTGGGATTGAAGATCTTTAAAATGATTTTGAAACGAATATCAAAAACTATTTTGTTTATTTTCAGATTATGTGTACTCTTGGGTTTGGATTGTGCAAACAATTTTCAAAAATGATTTCTTGCATCTGCCTGGACTTGTAGGCTGTAGAAATACCCGACGACGTGATGAAGAGATTTCATGGCGATTCAAGGAAAGGGTTGAGGGGATGGTGTGGCCCCCATCTTTTTAAAAAATATAATTAATAAACATTTAATCTATAAATAAAAATAATGAAAAAAAATAAATGATAAAAAATCAAGGTTCTAAATAACGTAAGGCGTGACTTAGCGGCAATGTCAAGCCTCAATCTTTTCCGAGCCTTGGCGAGTCATGTCGTTTGTAAGGCGTGACTTAAGGCGACAATTTTGTATATAATTAATATTTTTATATGTATTTTCAACTATTATTCTATTTTATACACATATATAAGTTAAGGCGACGTTTTGGTAAAGCTTGGCGGCAGGTACAAGTCTTGGAGCCATGGCGGAGCCATGACGAGCTTTTTAGAACCTTGTAAAAAATAGATAAAGTTATAATAGTCTTTTTAGGTCAAGGGGACCAAGCATGCAACAAAAATATATCTTAGGGATCGTCCGAATTAAAAAATAAAAAATAAAAAATAATGTAACCATACTTTAATAAGGTGATTTTAGTTAAGCTAGTCCAAATATGTTTACTTGTTTCCTGAATATATATAATTTTTTAAAAAATCGTCAACCTCATTTAGCTAGAACAATTTTTGTTAGACACGAAAATATTAAAAACAAAAATGCTAAAATGCTTCACTATTAATATAGAAAGAAGATATGTGAGGTACTTATGGTCACTTGGACCAAAGGGCTTCTAGCCCAGTGGTATCCGGTGTTGCCCTCTCTCTTTGAGGTTGGGGGTTCAAGTCTCGTTGTAGACATAAGTGGATTTAAGGTGTAGTTTAGGAGTAAGTTAAATTTGTCGTTTAAAAAAAAACCCTACACTTGGCTTGTCTGGTGGGTATTCATAACAATGAATACTTCCAATAGGTCATGTTGTCGAGGTTGGTAGAGAGAGATGAGAAGAGAGAAAAAGGTATTCTAAAATACCACTTTTTAATGTGGATATTCATTTTCTTTGGTAAATTTATTCATTCAACAATCATCAATTAATTTTTATTTTATCATCATTATCATATACTTTGTAATAACATCGACCATCATTAATTACCATCTTTCATGAAAGTATTAAGTTCCAATTTTATAAGTGTTATTAAACCTTTAAATATTATGTTTGTTATTTAGTTGGTTTAGTCTTAACCTGTCATTTAAGTTGTTTGTTGTTGTTTTATTTTCGTGTTGTTCGTGCTTCTGTGTTTTGCCACTAGTTTTATGTGGCTTGTATTGTTACTTTCTCTATTACTTCTTTTTCTCTAATATTAATTTATTGGCCGGTTCCAAAAAAAAATTTAGTTGGTTTAGTTTGACGGTTTAATTGCTTTTTTTTAAATGTAAACTGAAATCAAACTAAATAAGCTTTAATTTAACCAGCTTTCGATTTAATTGATTTGATTTACACAGTTAAATCTAAATAGCATATGTTAATTTTTTAAGGATTAGATTGGAATAACATGTTTCGATTTAATTGATTTGATTTACACAGTTAAATTTAAATAGCATATGTTAATTTTTTAAGGATTATATTGGAATAACATGTTGCGAAAAGTAGATGATGACTGAGTTTAATGAGTTTGTTTTAGATAAATGGTAATTGATTTATTAGTAACTATCATTTTTATGCAAAATAAAGTCCATAGCATTACACTTTGCCTTTATTTTTTATAATCCTCCCTAATAAATAAAGATCTTCTTACCACATGTCACATTCTCATTTATTTTGCCACATGTAATTTTGTGGTTATTTTTTTAAATTAATTTTTATTTCACATGTCATTTTATTGTTTTTTTCATTTTATTAAATTTCAAATAGTATTTAAATGCAATAATAAATGCATATCAAATTTATTAATGAACTTTCCTTCTAATTTCAAAATTACTAAATTAAAGATTCATTAATTTTTTATTTATTTATCTAAATTATTTGTTTAAATTTAAATGAGAAAAAAAAACACTTTAATTTTTATAATTCAATATTTTCTCATTTTTCTTATAAATACAAACTTCTCAAATGTTTAGAATTTTGTATTTAGTTTTCTTTTAAATAAATCCATGTAATACATGTGTCTCACATCTAGTGTAATAAATATACAGTTATACACATATATATTATTTAGATATGGTGAAAAGCATGATAACGTATTCATATTCTAAAAACATAACTTTAAACTAATGATTCCAGAATAATGGTGTGGTAATCTTAAATATTATTAAAAGAGAATCTTAAATTCTAAATTGAAGAAACAAAGGCCCTTGATTGCATTTCACTCCTTAGCTCTCCACCTTAGGATCGTTTTGCTGACATCATCTTACACCAAAATACGCATACTCATCGCATTGTAACGTCGTTCTTGCGTTTCATTCTTCCTAGGTTTTCATCTCCACATAGTTAGCAGCGAAGAGCGTATATCAACATATCAACATGAAGTCATTTTCTTCTTCTTTTTCCCTTTCTATCTCCAATCCATCAATGGATGTAGCTGTGTTCGAAAAGGCGAAGACATTAACGCTCCTCAATGGATTGATTTCTCCAATCATGATCCTCCTGTTTATGATGAAGCTTTGGGCATTCACAAATGTCGTTGAATTTTAGGGTTTTCTATCCACCATTTTCCTGCACCACTTCTTCCATCGATTTCTAGAAGAACACCTTTTCTCTTTGTCCATCCACAATCATATTTTAGTTAATTTTCTAATCCGCTATGGGCCTGCAAATACACACCGCTTTTCTGCTTTGTTCTCTATCTCGACAACGATCGGTCTTTCAAGGAGGCATCACGTCAATCGGGATCGGAATCGGCTTTGTTGCCGGAATTTGATCACCCCTGTCTTATATTATCAGGTTTAATGTGTTTTCTTGTGTGTGTCTGTAGTTTTGTGTGACTGGGAAGGAGCGAGATGACCTAATTCCTTTTCTATTTAATTAGGTACCTTGCGTATTCCTTTTCATTTGCTCCTAGCAACCACCAATTATTACAAACGATGGTCCCACTAATCATATGGTTACATCAAAATAGCCAGAGAAAACCCATACGGACGTCCTCTCTGATGCTAGACCAACCTGCTACAAGGTAATTATTAGTCACACATAAGCATCGAATGATTCATGGAGATTTGAAACCGGACAAATTTTTGTTTGCAGATTGACACCACAGGTCTCTCTCTGTGTGCTCTTAAACTTAATGTCAAATATGCTCCTGCTTCTCTCAGATCATTATCTCTTTTGATGAGACAACAATGATTGAAGACGTTGATAATCTGTTCAAAGTTTTCGCCTTGGGAAAACCTGTGAGTTTGCCATTTCTTTTGATTTAACGAATCTTTATATAAATCAAGAAACTTGATTCTTGATTCTTTATTCTAGGTGACATTCAGTGCCACGTCACTTGCACCAGAGGTTGAGGATAATATCCCTTCCGGACTTGTCAGGGAGACTCTATATTTGACTCATTCGATTTTCAACACGTATGGATCTTTTTCAAAACTTAGATTACATAATTTAAAGTCAACTTTTTTATTAATAATTTTATTTTAGTTATCATACGAAGCATGAGCTACTAAGATACATTAGTAAGCTGCAGTCAAAGGATCTGTCATTATGCCACAGTATGATTCGTCTGGGATCTTGCACCATGAAGCTTAATGCAACTACAGAGATGATGCCTGTGACATGGCCAGTCTTTGCAGATATGCATCCTTTTGCTCCTACCCAACAGGCACAGGGTATCAGGTAGTTTTGACTTACAATTCCAAATTATATTTCTGTTGACTTATTATTATTTTTTACTTGAGAGCAACTTAAAATATCTTGCAGGAAATGTTCAAGAATTTGGGTGACATGTTGTGTATCTTAACCGGATTCATCTCTTTCTCTTTGCAACCAAATGTTGGAGCTGCTGGAGAGTATGTTGGACTGATGGTTATCCGAGCTTATCATATGGTATGCTAAATTGCTAAATTATTATACCCTTTTTATATTGGTTTTAGTTTAATCATATATATATAAAGTCAAAGTCAAAGTCATTGACTTATTTCTTATTAATTTTTTCTATGTTTTCAGATTTGTTCGATTCTTATATGTTTTTTATATTTTATTCAGATCCGACTTCTTTCAATGCTTCAAGGATATAGGCTTCGTATATTCGTTGAAGTTAGTCAACATACTATGGTTGGAGGATCTGTTGCTGCCTCTTCAAGTTCTAAGGGGTTTTTTTTTTAATTTCAAAATTTTCATTTCTATGATTTTCTTTCTTACACATCATTTACCTAACAACATTTGACCATTAAGTGATTGCTTTCAAACCTCTTAATGAAAGCATGTTGTTTTGTAAAAAAGATGTATTATATTATATTATTTTTTTATTGTTTTTTCAAAATAACACATTTTAAAAAAACAATTCAACTCTAACTATTTTACTTTTTTGTTTAAGTAAGTTACTTTCTCTACATTTTCTAATTTTTAAATCTCTTTATGTTGTTTTCGTTTTCATGCTTTGTTGACTTTCCATATCATTGTTGTTTGTTTAAAATAAACTCAATCTATTTTATGTTATTTTTCTTCTTGAATAAGAACACATTTTATCCTAATTCCATAGGATAGATAGATTTTCATAATTTAAACTAATATGGCATGTTCTATTGGTTCAACTTGGTTGTATTTTGGTTGAGTTAAATTTGAGTTGTATCATTTGTTACTCATTTTGTCTCTTGCACATGGTTTATTTTCATATCTTTTGAAACTTATGAATGAATTTGAAAACATGTATCCGATGTCTTCCTGTATAGGACACTTTACAAGTCCTTTCATAAAGGAGTTGGTTCAGATAAGGCTCAAAAGTTATGAATTAGCAGGCTATTATAAATATTTTTTGGATTGATTAATGGCAGTATGGGAAAGAACCTCTATGGGAAAGTCCATCAGATATTTTAGATCTTTTGATTTTTAAAACTGCTATTTTACAATCATTTTTTTAGAGATAACATCTTTTATTTTCAAGAATAATGCTTTGGGATTTATATGTGGTTTGATTTTAACATTTTGGTAAAGTTCACTAGCTTGTGGTGGAACAGGACAATGGCATCTCAACACGAAAAAGGCTTCTTGAAGCATGCACTTTTTAAAATTTTTAATTCTATCGTGTTGAAAGTATTTGAATTTTTTATTAATATACAACACTCATCTTTGCTTTTTCAGTATTCTGGGTGGGTGTCTGTTGGAGGAAAAGGTGCGATTAATAATTAATAATTAATGATATATTCTTAGTTGACTACAAATTAGTGTTAATGTGTTTTATGATATTGTTTTGTACCTTGTATTTATTTCCCAGTTTTCAATGTATGTTTATTAATTGATGTGTTTTATATCTTTTTGTAAGGAATGTTATTTGTTATTTTTTACTAAGTTAAAAATTACAATAATTTGGTTATTTTTTTGGCAAGTACTATATTTAAGTTTAAAATTCTAAAAAAAATATAATAATTGCGTACTTGAAAGTAGGATAGTATAATAGACACATCACTAAATGTATATTTATCCCTATGCATTGTCTATTAGAAAATAAACAACTTTGTTTGAATGATATGAATATAATCGGGTAGATTTGTCATAGTAAAATGTTATAATAGGAACAAATGAAAGTATAATACAATAAAATAAAGTAAAATTGGTTTATTGTTTTTGCATCCACATTTCAAGTAACTATTTTTTATTTGTTGTGATGTAATGCGTCATCAGTTCTATAGACAATTATATGTACAAACAATTAATTTTATTTATTTATAAGTATATTCATATATAAATAAATATAAAGAGGGTTTCAATAGTAAATGACATTTTTTTAACTAATATAATCTTGACATAGTTGCCCTTCAAAGTTTTTGTCAACAACCATATCAGGTCAAAACATTTAGGATTAACAAACTTGGATTTCAATGTACCAGGGGAATAAAAATACAAAATGACAACGAATTTGACCCTACTCGAAAACTGTTTTTAATAAAAGCATGAATTTGTTGTTCCTGAAACAAATACATAAAAAACATGAAGTCATTGTACTAGGGGATTAAAAGCTAATAAATGCCAACAAATGTGATTGTTTTGCCCCTCCTCAAAAACTAATTATATATATATATATATATATATATATATATATATATATATATATATATATATATATATATATATATATTCCTTGCTCCAAAACTAATTAATTAATCATATTATTAGCACAATATTCTTTTTGCCAGATTATGTTACTTTTTGTTCGACTTTAATTACATTTTCATGAAAATGTCAACACAAATTGAATTTCAAAATGGCAACGAACTTTGAGTACCTACTCCATAATAGCAATCTACTTCTGACTAAGAAGCACATTTCTATTTTTATGTGGGTATTGAAGGTTTGTTTGTATTATTCAGTGTAAATATCATTCAAATAAAAAACTGCTCATTTTATCCACCTATTGGACATATCTGCCCTTACACAGTCAAATTGACATATTTGCCCCTCCAGTTCTATTTTCCATACCTAACCTGCACAGTAAAATTAACATATTTACCACGTATTGGACATAATTGCCCCTACATAGTCAAATTGTCATATTTTCCACCTATTGGTGGTTTTACCCTAAAATACATTAATGTGTTACTTTCAGTTGTTGTAAGTCTTTGGAACAAATAACATTGTACTTTAGTAAGTCAACTATTTTTTTCTTTTTTCATTAAAACATAAAAATAAATACTATTTAATGTTTTTTTCCCGAATGAAAAGCTAAGGGTGCACCAGGAATGGAAAATAATGTTTGTGTTTATTGATTATGGTAATGTACTTTTAATTGTTATGACGTTAAAATAGCTATTGTAATGTATGTTAATGAATTTAAAATAGCTATGAAAATGTACTTTTAATTGTCATGCTTCCTATGGTGTAATATATGTTTACAATTCTATGTTTTTTTATGCGCTCCTCTGCGTTTAACGCGAGTCGTAATCTAGTAAATTATTAAAATGATGATGAATATCTCAAAAACAACATATTGTTATTATGTATATACATCACTATTAATAGTATTTGACGAAAATTCACCATATTTCTCGAGTGCTCCAAGAGAAATTTATTCAAATATATGGGAGCACAATAAATTATGGAATAACAGAGAAAATGAGGTATTACGAAAGATATTATTAGATTATTATGCATGCTAAAATTAAAATTAAAAAAGGTGGGAAAATTACTAATTTAACCACATCTTTGTTTTTTTTTCTTGGGCAAAATTAGGTTTACAAGTTTTTGTCGGTTTTACCAAAAGTCGTATTTTATGTCCATTAATCCCTCAAAATTGCAACTTTTTTTTTCAATTTTATATTTTTTTTACAAATTTATGTGGTAAAACTGAAAATTTATGCAAAACTTAAAGGGCTTTAATGAACCAGAAAACCAAACTTAAGGACTTTTATGAACCAGAAAAAATGATAAAAGTCGAACTTTCTTGCCAAACGTAAGGGCTTTAATAAAAAAGGCAGAGGATAAAATTGAAAAAAAAAAATACAAATTTGAGGCATTAATGGACATATAATATGACTTTTGTTAAAAACCGACAAAAACTTCCAAATATAAAGGTTTTTATGGCATTTGCTTTTTTTTTTAAAATAACCATTTTTTTTAAAATAACCATTTGATCCATAATACCTATTCCAGACCCAAATTCCAAAATAGGTAAATATGTAAAATGGTCCAACCCGGTAATGTGGTCTCCCTATATATAGCATGTCGAATACCTTGCCCCGAACACATTGTTCCGGACCTCATTTTAGACTGCTCATCCCTTATTTCGGACTTCATCAATTTCGAACAATGTCTTTTTCTAGTGATAAAGAGATCCAACATTTGTGGGTATGTATCGATTCTTTGTATGATTATATGCTATTATATGTTAAAAATAAAAAGTTTTTGTGTTTTTTGTGTGATTTGATGCGATTATATAGCAATAAGTCGTTTTCTTACCGATTTTAGTTGTTGTTAGGCTTTTGTAGATGATTATATGCATATAATAGGACAACTAAAATCATAAAAAAAAAAAAATTTAAAAAGAAACAAAAAAAAACCACTTTTGAATCCATCTAGAACAAGTTTGGAACGCATAACTAATCTGGAATGCGTATAACACCTCCGAAATACGTAAAACAAGTCTGAAATTTCTACGACTGTTCCAAACTAATTTCTACGACTGTTCCAGAATATTGTTTGGAACACTACCCTTATATCTGGAATGGTATTCGGAACACTGACATTTTATTCCAGAATGTTGTCTAGAACACTACCTTTTTAATCGGGAACATGCAGCCGTGAGCTAATTTAAATTTCTTTCATTGTAGCATCACAAAAGATATGAAACATTTGTCACTACAACCTGCAAATCTAAACTGGACAGGGAAATCATGGCGCATTTACACACCCTCAAATGTGCGGCCATGTTTAGGGCTTCCTATTTCGGTGCATATCTTAATATGGAGATGGATATAGATGTTAGATAATTATGGGACCACATCATATATATGGAATGTTATCATTAAATCCGGTTATTATGGTAAAAATATAAATTGTTGATGAACCGATTTATAGAATATTTACTTTCCTTGTGGGAATTGAGTTTTCGGTTTGACTCAAGATCTTTTCCATCTCTCACATTAGGGTTTATATCCATCTATAAATACACATGATGAGGAGCAAATCAACACACATGAAATACACGTGTAAATTCGTTTAGGGTTTGCATATGGATTTTAGAGAGAGTTCTTGAGATCAACTGACAAACCCAACCCAGTTCTTCAGATGCGAAGATTATAATGGAACATGTATGTAATCGTTCTTTCAGGTTTAAAGTTTTCTTTTGACAGATTCGAGAATCAAGATCTAAAGTTATGTTTCTGCATTTTATGT